TCTCTAGGTCTCCGCCCCGAACTGCCGGGTCAGTCAACTTGGTCTGCGTGCGTGAGCGTGTCTGTGCCCGGCAGCGGGTATGGCAGTTTTCTGCCCCACGAGGCCACGAATTCGTTGATCAAATACACATGCTTCTAGCGCCCACCTCACAATCTCACTGGACATGGTCACATCACATGGAGTGTTTATCGGCGATGACGACTAACAAGTAACAATAGCAGAATAGTAAAACACGTGGCCGATGGCGCAACTAGTCTGCAAGGCTGGATCGGTAAAGAATAAAGTCCGATTCACACCCTCAAGTCTCAAGTAGTATTAGCTGAATTTGAAAGGCCATCAAACTTTAATATCGGACAAAATACACACTTTAACTTTTTAAAACCAGACAAAATATCGACATTGACTATTTCAAAATAGTTTCTCAGGGCTTGTTTAGTTCCCAAAAAGTGTTGCAGTAGCCATTACATCGAATCTTGCGATACGTGCATGGAGCATTAAATATAGACGAAAAAAAACTAATTGCACAGTTTGGTTGGAAATTGCGAGACGAACGTTTTGAGCCTAATTAGTCCATGATTGAACACTAATTGCCAAATAAAAACGAAAGTGCTACAGTATCCAAGTTCCCAAAATTCCTCAGTGGTTTTGCTGACATTACAGTAAAGCCCACTATCATTTGGTCTCTATCTGTCTTATATAAAAATAGAGTTAAAATGTATGAGCGGGTTCTGAACTTGTTAAGAGGTGTCATTTAAACCCATAAACTTTGAAAATACATTTTTGGATCCTAAACTTGTTGAATGGTGTACCATATTGGTGGGTATGATCCATAAATAGATTTGGAGTGTACCATTTAACGAGTTTAGAGACGTACGGTCCACGACTTAACAAATTTAGGGACCCAGAAATGTGTTTCCAGAGTTTGTGAACTTAAGTGACATCCCTCGATAAGATAAGGAGTCACTCATGCATCTAACTCTAGTAAAGTCATAACTTTTTCATTGAGCTCGATACTATCTACAACTTTTCAATTGATAATTTTTTATTTAACATATTCTAGAGGACCAAATATTCATTTTAAACTACTAGATTTTAAAATTCAAATTTCTAAATTTTCCAAATGACCTCAGGTACTTTAAAATTCTAAATAATCTTAAATAAAAAAGTTGTCACCTATAAAGTTAGCATCATGCTGTCATCTACAACTTTTAGATCGTTTAGAAGTCTAAAATATCCTATATCATTTAAAAAAATCAAAAAAAGAAGAATTGGTAATATCAAATGAATATTTGAGTATCTAAGATATATTAAATAAAAAAGTTACCAACTACAAAGTTATAGATTGTGTAGAGCTCTATAACTTTGATATAAAATTTGTATTCATATGATTTCATATGAAAAAGTTATGCTTTTTTATATAAGATATATAAAGAGACCAAATGACAGGCCGGTGAGTTTCAATGCCACGTCAACAAAATCACCCTTGAAACCACTCTAAATGGATCAAGGGAGGTATTTTATCTAATTTTAAAATTAAAGTTGAATTTTGTTCAGTATTAAAGTTTGAGAAGATCTTTCCAAATTCAGAGACTACTTTACGGAGTGAATCTGACTTTACTCATTGACAAATCATGCACTCTAGCGGAACAAGCACGCACATCCCACTGAGGCCACATTCCACAAGCTTGAACTAGTTGTGATGGGCCTCTACCGAACTGGACGACTATGTTATCTAATGGAAAAGGTTAATTTACTTTCCACAACTACAATGGTCGTCCGATTTTTCCTAACTTTTAAAACCATTTATTTTTACACCTGAAGTGGTTATTGGTGGGGACGGGGTTCCTGATCTTCCGTTAGGTGGCGATAACTATCGATTTGGTTGGAGAGCGACACACCGATCCGATTTAAGATTGCATGACCCAAACCCTGCCACTTTAGCACCATATCTCCTCTAGTTATCAACTGTATCACAATTCGGTTGACCTCGCCGACATGGCTAATCCTTGCTGTGAATCGAAGAACACAAGCAAGAACAATATAAAACACAACTCAAGTGAAGTGACAATTGCAGATATATGATTAAGATCTTGAATGTGGGGTTTCACAAGTCAATGATGATGATTGTTCAATGACAGATTGATCTAAAGCAAAACTCAAACCCTAACGTGGGCGGCGGCTACTGAATATATAGAGTAAGTGGTGTCTAAGGACCCCTATTCATGTCCCTAAGGAGTCCCAACACATTATAAAGCCCAAATGGCCCAAAAGATTGTGACGCGGCATCTTAACAGATTCTGGACACTGACTTGTTTCGACGATTCCTGTTGACTCCGATGGAATTTTGACATGAGACTAGTGCCATTGGTTAGTTATGAAATTATCTTTTCATCTATAGGTGGATCATCGAAAACGGAGCTTGTATATGACCTGGGCGTCCGTTTTACTAAGGGCTGCTCCTGGAGTCCGAGATGGACTCGAACTTGACATGGATTGGGTCTCCAACTTGGCCTGGACGCCCATGATGGCCTTTTAAGGAGGTGGCCAAGGAGGAGGCGTCCTTTTTTCATCCTTGGGTTGTTCTCCGTATGTTTAGGGCGTGCTCTCACTTGGGTCAGGGTCCCAAGGGTGAATAACAAGTCCACGATGACGTCGTAGTACCTGGCTGAAACAACAACAACAATTTGTTGTGATGATTTGAAGACCTTTATGACATGATGTTGATGTGGGACTATATCCATTTCAAAGATTATCAAACAAGCTTTCCATCAAGTGCTCATCAACCTTAATCATACTATAGATGGATGAGCTATGACCTTTCTAATGAAGCATTGATGGGCTGCCGACGAACCGAATGTTAGGCTTAGTCGCTTAGATGAGTTTGCATTCCAATATCGGTCTTGCGCATGTTGTATCAATGTCCCATCTATTGTGGAGGCCATATAAAGTGTCTTTCCTAAGTTGACATCATCATCATCATCATTGTTCCTAAGTATATTGAAAGCAATAATATTAGGTAGCAACAAATTCTCATTTATGTCATTGTGCAAACATAGGAACGAGCTCTCCTTGTTTGTAACTTCATGAGTGTATCCATAGGTGTTATGTACTCACCATCCTCCCTTCTTGGCAGTAAACTGTCCTTGGTTTGAGATTAGTTGAAGGACAGGTCGTAGATAATAGCCAACATTGCCTCTCTTCTTGTGACTTATGTTGTTTCTTTGAAACAAAACTAGAGAAATTCAACATGATAAGATTATAGCTATTGCAGTCATCTAGTTCATCATATTTTTGCACAATAAAATGAGATTTCAGATTTGAACAAAAGTAAACATGATGTACTGTATACTTTTCTTTACGATTATACTTGCCAGCCAATAAAGTGATGTAAATCTTTTCAACCTTTCGACTGGTTGCCTGAATTCAGCAGCAGCAGGCTCCAGACAGTGAGGAGCAGCTCGTAAGGATGGCAACGGATCGGGTTTGGGGCGGATATCCGTGGGTTTCGGGTTCTGCGGGTTCGGGTTTGGGGATGATTTTTCACCCACGGTTTTCGGGTTCGGGGCCCCGAAACCAATCGGGTTCGGTTTCGGGTTTGGTTTTCCACCCGTGGATATCCAATGGATATCCGAAATAAATTATTTAGAATTAAAACTCATGTTTTATAATATACTAATAATAATTTGTTTACTTAAATTATTAAATTTATTTAAAGTTGACTCATGAAAATATTTATTATTTGTTGCCTCTTGTTTATACATGTGAATATGTGTATATATATCCGCGGGTTTCGGGTATCCATTCGGGTTTCGGGTATCCGTTCAGGTTTCGGGTATCCGCAGGTTTGGTTTTGGTGATGGATTTCCACCCGAATCGGTTTTCGGGGCGGATTCGGGTTTCGATTTCGGGTTTCGGTTTTGGGTGCACGGAGACTCCACCCGATCCGAACCCGATCCGTTGCCATCCTTAGCAGCTCGAGAACTTCCGCCTTTCCAACGCCATGAAAGCCGTCGTCGCCCCGCCCAATGAGGCTTCCGTGCCGCCCGCAGTGGTCGACCCCATCTCCGTACTCCCGCAGCCGAACGGCCTTATCCTCCTCCCAAGAGGCAAGCCAACAAGACCAAAGCAATGTGTGCAAGAATCTATAACTCCCTTGCCAACTTCGAGGCGGACGGAGTTCGTTTACTCCACTCCCATTCCATTATTGGACAGAGACAGAGAGAAGAAGGCCGAGATTCTTCTGCGTACGTACATGAATCCTTTGCCCGTACGTACTTCATTCCTCCCCGGCCCTTGCATATAAAACGCTACTCTAGTCTAGCTACAGAAAGAGCTGCGCGCGCTGCCAATGCCTTTTCTGAACAGCAGCTCCATCCATAGTCGTCCCTGGGCCCTTGCCTACTACGAACATGGGTCAACACATGCCGGCCGCTATTTTAATCTCGCGTCATGCATGCTGAGTGCTGACCCCAATGGTTTGTTCCGGTACACTTCTCCATCAACATAAGTGCAGCTTCATTGCAGCATGACAATATATTGGCCTTTTACATGCATGTCTCCCATTTGCAACCTTTAGTTTTTTTTTATTAGTGTGCACCCCATCCATTATCGATGTCTTCGATCGGGCTGATGCTGAACGTGGTTTATTTCTCTTCTTCAAGACGACCAATGAACAGAGAGAACGAGTATTCCTACAAGCTAAGCTAGTACCCTCGAAATGACGTCCTGCAGGAAGAGCTGCCCACTCAACGATGCGTGTGACGAGAGGAATCCCCACGGCTGTTGAGAACTCATCACAACCAAACATGCATCACTCAAGTGTCCTTTCCAGCTCATCCTAACGACCTGCATAGTATATAGCACAAACCTCGAGGCCAAACCGTCAGCATTTAACAATCCGCGCAAAATGGCATACGCCTTGTTGTCTGCTGTGTATATATACTGTGCCCAACCAAACATTGCCACATATACACACTTGGAGCTGGATGTTCACGAGCAGCATGAAGGCAGGAGTAGGATCCAAGGGGAGATTCCTCAACCTCAAGGCCTTCCTCCATGCGTGGAAGAAGCTCGCCGCGGCTGAGACGGCGACGGCAGGAGGCGCTGCTGGGTGGGCACAGCTCGACGGCGACGTCGAGGGCGCCATCCCCAGGGACGTGCCCAAGGGCCACACGGTGGTGTACGTCGGCGAGGAGCTGAGGCGGTACGTGGTGAGGGTGTCCTCCCTCGACCACCCGCTGTTCCGCGAGCTGCTCGACCGGGCGCGGGACGAGTACGGCTTCGCCGCCGCCGACACGAGGCTGTGCCTCCCCTGCGACGAGGACATGTTCCTCGCCGTCCTCAGGCATGTCGACGCCGAGCGCGAGTGGAGCCTGGCACTGTGCAGCTGACCGCGGTACCAGCCCGGTCGCCCTCGTCGTTGAATTTGACCGGCTGCCCTGTTCCCGTAACTCTGCTCCAGATGTTCAAAAGTCGAGCATGTTTACATGCTTGTCCTGTTTATAGGGTGTAGGCTGTAGAGCAAGCAAGCAGTTTGTAGCTCCAGTGGTCCATACCCATATTGTGCCCTGAAGTTTCAAGGATGCACCGCAAGGTGCTTTGAATTGTTTCAGCTGCAGCTGCAACCAGGAGATGCATGAACGCATTCCGGCATTCGAGTGCCAGGTCAGGGGTATACTGCCATTTTTGGCCCATATTGTGGCCTCGAGTATCTTCATGGCTGAACTTACCACCAGCAGTTTTCCTTGCAAGAGTTGACTGACGCATGCACTTGTAAAGTGACATGACACGTTTACACGCATGAACATTTGACCTGTACGGTGGCACTAGAATGTGCCGCAGACAGATCAAGACGAATCTGCTGACATGACGAATTATAAAGATCCGATGCCATAAGACTGCCCTACGGACTATGGTTATTCCTCTCCCAATTTTGAAATGGGTCTAGTTGAAGTCAGGCTTCTCAGGGTAAGTGCAGCCAGAACGTTGGATGATAACATTGGCGGCGTAACAGGCAGCTCTGACACACTCATCGATGCTCTTCTCTTGAACCAACAAAGGCATCACCTGCCAGATATAATGCTTAAGTTTGAGGAACAAATACTTATGCGGAACATAAACATGAAAAACATGCGCACCATATTCTTCTATTGGTATACCAAGTAGATTTTTTGTTTGCGGGGCACATATTTAATGAGTTTATTATGGTAGACTAGAGGATGACACAAGGAAAAGAAAGGGGCAATGTACAATGCGATATTACTACTGGAAACTATCGAGTTTCAAGTACCTGCACCATTGGTGTCAACAAGCTTCTCCTTGGGCAACAGGATCACAGGAAAAGTCTTCACCTGAAAGCATAGTATTTAAGATTAACAGGAACCAGGATAAACATTTGTCTCAAGTAGCCAAGGTCCAAAAGACAAAAGATGACGTGAATGTTAACTTTATAAAGACATGTAGTTGCCGCAAATAATCCACATCGATATTATTTTAACAGAATGCAAATGTCACAACAGTCAGTGTAAAAATGCAGGACACTGTAAGCAGGAGATTTACCTTTCCATCATCAGTCACAACTACTGGATCACGACCTTGAGTGATCACAGTAATCCTCTTGTGTGTTCCTGAGGCCTTCGGTAATTGAGAGATCTTCAAAGCAATCTCCTCAACATTCTCGGTCTGTAAATTTTCATCAGAACCTTTTAGAAACCTTATTAGCCTAGTGAAAATAACGAGGGACATATGAGTAGTTACCTCCCAACCACGAACTTTAGCAAAGGTCCTCGCCTCAGTTTCATTTCCAAAGATGTAGTCCACGTACCTATGTTTGGCAACATAATAAGGTTTTACATAGTACAGAAAAATTGGAAAACCTAACATGCACCACGGTTGAAACAAGCTTTGCTCCACAAACTGAACATGTTCGAATAAAGGTCAGAAAATAAAGCATCATTACACATCAAAGTCACCACTACAGTCTGCTTGGTTGTAAACGGGCTTCTTTATCCTATTAATACAACGATATCTACTTAATCGAGAAAAGAAAAGAAAAGCTACGCCAAGGAGATTGCCGGCGGGTCGTTGCTGTGTGGTCGAATGGTGTTCAACGCTGGGGTCGTCGTGGGCTGCCGAATAGGGGGTGGCATTGGCCCGAGAGGCCGGTAATCGCCAGCGGGTATAAGAGAGATGGGTCGGGGTTCGCCCCGGCTGAAGCCCGTGATCTCGCCGAGCTGGGCTTCCGCGCAGTCGGGCAGCAAATGGGTGCGCAAGATGACTCGCCCATGCCAGGTCGTTATCGCCAGGCTGTGCGCACCACACGCGCAACCTGCTTTGTGGAGAGTGGGCTCGCAATTTTTTCTCTCTTTCCTATCTTAATTGAAAGGTAGAGCTCCTGCCATATTTTTCAAAAAAAAAAGAGAAGAAAAGCTACACATCCAGATCCAGTACTTATGGAAGAGCTTTCTCCAGGGCATCACGGTAAAACTCGCAGATAAAGGGAGCAGAAAGGTTCATCATAAACACCTACAAATATTGCAACCAATGGAAATCAGACAACACTAGCAAGATGGTCTTCTTTTACTAGCACCATTTTACCTTATTAGTTGCAGCAGCATGCTCAGCAACAAGTTGAATAGAATCCGGGGACACCATAAGGAAAAATCAAGCAATGTAAATATAGTTTGCCTTCTCAACTATAATTAATGCATATCATAATCAGTAAAGACAATCCATGATAAAAAAGCATCGAGTGCAAACAAGTACAGTGATGCTATGGAAGAAACCACAAGCAATGACTTGGATAGATGGGTATAGGCTATGTGGTTAACTAGCAAACGAACTATAATGTTATGACAAGGTGCAATTTTGCTATTGCATCTGCGCTGCTCCAGAGAACTATGATGTGCATGAGAGGGAAAAATCAAAAGAAAAATGGTGCAGAAAATAGTAAAAAAATGATGGGATGCTTTATTTACTACTATGTAATATGCTAGATTTTATGGTGCGAACTGAAATATTGTCTCAATTGTTTGCACCACCTGCCCACTTGTACTATAATAGTACATAATAAACCCCAGAGAAATAAGAAGAGTTGGAGACATTTGTGCTAAACTGACCATCCAACGATGTTCATCAACTTAAAAAATGATGTTTGTTATTTTCAGAGCACAATGGAAAACCACTCAACCAGAGCAATTCCAAGCAGAGCATTACCAGTAACATTGTGTCCAAAGTCTAAACAGCACGATGAACGGTATTTGTATCAAGAGAAATAAATGTGGAAATTCTTAAAGGTGCTCTAGTGGTTTATTTGCATTACCAAGTGCCCAATTCTCTGGTTTCTTCAGATGTTCAGACTTGTAGCAGTTTGCATCAAACAAGTTTGCAATAAGTGACCTGGTTACAGTTTTAAGGGAACTGATTAAAATTAAGACACGCTTGTTGAAGTGAAGACGCCGTAGCAAGCATACCTTTCTCCACCAACAACACAGACAGCACATGTGCCTGTTGGAGCATTCTCATCCTCATAATAGTGGGCCTGGTTGCATAGATGGCAGTGACGTATATGAAGAAGAATAAAACAAGAAGGGAACTTGCAACTTACATTAATACCAGCAGCTTGTGCATTTTTCTTCATCTCCTCACCAAACTTATCCTTCATGATGCAGCCTATGTAACTTGTTGCACCAGGAATTTGAAGCATCCACTGAAAAGTAATCAGGATTGTTACTATTTAGTTTAAGTAACCAATTAGGACAGGTCATAGGCTAATAGCTTTAAATATTTATTATGACTTATCTTAAGAGCTAACTTGGGCAACCCTGAGACCGAGCTTCAGCTCGGATGGCAAAGGCTTACGGTGGGCAGCCTGCCCACCAGGGTTCGAACCCTGGTGCTCACCGGGATTTATTCCCAAAAATCTGTAGCCTCTCTCGCGTGGAGCCACAAGAGGATTGCGACGTGCCCGTCGCCTACGAAATCAGTTCATTTCAGTGATCTCAAGAAGGACGCGGTTTTCAAGATCTGAGTGTAGTTGTAGGTTTGTTTGTACACGGGTGGTGTGAGTAGCGTGCGTGTGTTGAGTGGGCGTGCATGTGTACGAACAGATGCTACAGCTGTACCCAGATGAGAGGCACCAAAAAAAAAACTTGGGCAACCCTGATAGAGTTTTGAGTGGCTCCTGAAAGAAAAGAACACTATAAATAGAAGAGAGAAAAATGAATCATGAAGCAGTACTTCATTCATGTGCATTAACATTACCTCCAGCAATGTATTCGACATTGCTCTTGCTAGCCAATTCATCATACCTGGCAGAACATAGAAATACAGGTCATCATTTGTATATTTGAGCTACTTTTGTTATTCCATTTCAACTTACAGTCATAGAAGGAAATTTTTGTTATGACATCAGGAATGGGCAGTTTCAGATACTCTACTAATTACTAACCTCATGCCATGTACATACCTGGCTATAAAAACTTAGAAGTCCTACTATGTTTCTCCCCGACCCATAGGTGCTTAATGTGACAATATCAAGAATATGTTTTCCATTCTCCACAGGACAAACAGCATCAAGTAACCAATATTTCAAACTGCAAGGGAAGTTAAAGGGGCAACGAGACTTACATTGGCAAATGCTTGTCCTCAGCAAGAATGGCATTGCCCGGCTTCACATCATACCTGGAGCACAGGTGCAGCGAGAAAAGTATTGATTAGTTCGCAATAACTTCAGGTGCAGCCTAACTACTCAGAACAAGGCAACCGAGAAAGCATTGTCCCAATCCAACACACATCGTTCTGAGAAGGCAGCATAATTGAAGGCATATTTTTCGCGGACCCCAGCTTAGACAGGTAGTGAAGAAAGAATAAGGGAATACGATGTGCAAGCAGACAAAGTGAGCCCAAGTGGACACTGATGAGAATGGTACTGGTAGTAGTACTAGTACAGTAGTACTTCTAATAGATTGATTTTCTTGGTAGCTTCATTAAGGCGCTCTCGGTCTCGGGTATTGCTGGATACTTCAGTTGCATACTACGGACTGGTTATTCAGATTCAGAGTTTCATTCAGTGGTAAAAAAAAATCTAGAACCCGCGCCCATAAGCCCATAACTGCCGTTGGAAACAACAGAGCGGTGAATTGGTGACGCTCGAGCCCGCATCACATCACTGGCAAAATTACGTACTGAAACTCAGAAAAAAAAAAGTATAGGCGCAGTTGAGAGATCATGAGATGAGGATAGAAGTGATCGGGGAGGAATCGAGTACTTGGCGAGGAAGCCCTCGTCGACGACAGCGGAGATGTCGAGGAGGGGGTTCCCCATCCCCAGGAGGATCCCCTCGTAGCCGCTGCCGGCCATTTCCTCCTCTCGAGCTCAAGCCGAGCGCGGCGTCGGCGGAGCGAGAGCGATCGTATGGCGACGGGCGAGTTCGGTAATTGGGAAAGCACGGTCGGACGGGAGCACGGGGCGGCGCCGGCCGGAGAACTGGCGGAGAAAATCGTCACAGTGAAGGAAGAGAGAACCCGTTGCCTATCGCCCTGCTTGCTTGGCCGTACCTTTTCAGGCAACAACATTAATCGGCCTGTTTACTTCGTCGTAAACCATCGGTAAATTTCCAGCCAAAATAGTATTTTTCTCTCACAACAACTTAGCAAAGATACTTTCAACTGGACTGTGTTTACTCGGCCACACTCCCCTCTAATCACGTCCACTGAATTAGCAACCAACTAACAATTCCATAAGTTTTCATTTTAGTAAAAACATTTATTTTCACAACTTCCAGTTTTAAAAATTTACAAAATTATACCTACATTTTTATGCCTAACATTTTATGGGACAAAACTTATCACCAAAACTTTTACTCCTAACTCTTTCACTATAGCTTCTGGTATAGATAACTCATCATGAAACCTTTTTTATGTGGTATTTACGACCCAACTTTTGATTATAACTGTCAGCAAACAAACTTATCATAATAATTTCTCAATATAACTTTTCAAGCGTAACTTTAATATAATAAACTTTATGAATAACATGATTTATACACATAAGTTTTAATTCTTCAAAGTTTTCAAAAAAAAATTACACAATTTATCTATCATAGTTTTTTTTAAAATTATGCAGGCAAACTTCTCACTTAAAAAACTTGTTCATGGTATATAGAAAAAAAATTAGGTAGATTAATATGAAAAAATGAAAAGGCAAAAGAAAAAAGAAAGGAAAGAAACCCTATGACGGCGAGCAGTCGGCCGCTAAATTGGAATTTGCGTGTTTACTCTACTTGCTGGGCCTGTACTTAGACCCTGCTTAGATTTCATTCTATCTTATTCTCTATAGATAATGATTTAGAATCTGAATTCTAGATTAAAAGAAGGGTGTTTGGATTTCATTCGTATTGTGATTATTACATTTGCACATGTAAAAATCCCCAAATACTAGATTTTAGGTAGATCTAGAATCGAAGAAGTTTGACCTCATTCTTATTTTTTACGTCATTCTCATCTTTTAGATCCAAAGTTTTGGTGCTTCTCGCGAGACCTATTAATGGGCTGCCCAACCTGCTAAAAAACTGATCCAAACCGATCTGCCAGTGCATCATGTCGGGTTTGGATCATGATTTTTGACTCATGGCCTGATCAAACCTAAAAACACCATTCAAAGTAGGAGAACCTAAGAAATAACTCGGTCCGACCTAACCCACCAGTGCATCAGGTGGCTTGGGCCAAAGATTTTAACTCGACTATTTTTTTCTGGCTCGATCTGACCCAACTTGATATGATGTTTGATTAGGCCTACTTCTCACCTTCTCGGCAGTAGCAGCCAGCCAGACTCACCATGTGCTGACTTGGTAGTGGAGCAAAGCGATATGCCTTCCGTAATACCAGTCAAATGCGCTGTTGTCTCTGAAAGAAATGAGTAGCCTCAGGGAAAGGATATTATCTCTCCATTTCTGAATAAATCAATTTTAGAGTTGTCTTAAGCTAAATTTTTAAGTTAGACCGAAATTGTAGAAAAGAACGCCAAAGTTTATGACACCAAATTGGTACCATTAGGTAACCATGAACTATGTTTTTATAATGTGCATGCTCATTTGGTATCACAAATATTTATTTCTTTTCCATAAAATCGATTAAATAAAAAATTTACTCTATACAACTCTGCAAATTAATTTATTTAGAGACGAGTAATATTTTCGGCCCGAAGACCATGGGGGTCTGCTAGCTGTACCTGGCCATCGCCACGAATTCTAAGTTTCTAACCCTTGCTACCTGATGTATGCGTGATGGTAAGTGGTATAATAAGTTTGGTTGAGCGATCCCATTTCGCGCTGGTTATTCTTTTAGCAGCAGTTGAGTTCAACAATACCACCAGCCGACCTGACTAACTAGTGGAGCGGTGGTTGGAACCAACTTTCGCAGGTGCAGCGATGCATATCCATGACCATGCATGAGCCATATCCTCTCTCGGTCTCTCTCGCCAGGAAGGACACGCGCCAGCAAACTCCCGTCAGGTCCTCCATCACTCGCTAGTAGCTGCTAGCCCCTCTTCGTCTCCAGGTAGGGGCTTAGCTAGGGCTACAGCGATGTGCCTTCTCTCGTAGCTTTGCTTAAAAAGGATACTGAAGATACAACGGCTTTCAGATCTCAGCCCGTTTGGCTTTTACTACTGATCTCATCTGTATCCGGATGGATCCATGCGGTAGACTGACCTCAGAGGCAGCGGGTAAAACAGACGGAGTACGTTGATCCTGTCATCCGTCCTGCGTGTATCTCTGGGAATCATCAATCTGGCCATCCTTGCGGCACGCTACACCACGGCGATGTGCGCTGCAAGCCTGCAAGCGCGCGCATGCATGCTCGCTTGAAATAAAAGTGCCACATGACCATGCACACGTTACGGATCGGAATAGCAACATGCCAACGCCCAACCCCCCACGGCTCACATGCGCATCTGCATGTGTTATCAGGAGCCAGTTGAAAGGTACTCCTAACCAGTTTCAGTTTCAGAGCTGCATCGATCTGCATGCATGCGCGCGGCTCCATCTCCATCCAACAGCAGCGCTGGATCTCGATCTTTTGTCTTGTTCTCCACTTGGCGGAAGACTCCTCAATCCTCCCTCCTAACCCACTGCTTGACGAAACTGGAGAATCTTGCATGCATGGTATACTCCGTAGCATATATAATGTTGTATTTGGGGGGATGCCTTCAAGTTCAACTGCTCGAGATTTTTTGTCCATCGGCTAGATTCTTTGTCGTGGCAGCGTGCGTCGTCAGTGTCATCGATCATGTTCATGTGCGTCGTCGTTGCTGATCGATGGGTTCACGGACGGATGTATAGATAGCAAAGCATTTGCATGCCAAACGAAGAAATGCAACGACTTGCATGGTTGGCACGTACGCACCATTGAAATAAAATCGTTCTCTAGTCATTTTTGTCTACGGTTACCAAGCATAACTTAATTTTGCCGTACATGTTCTAGCTACCAACTTGATTGGCACGTACGTATGTTGAAATGAATCAATTATTTGGTCATTTCCGTCTACCCGAAGGAAAGCAGAATTCTGGGTGTTTATCAGGACGGGGTCGTACGTTCTCGTTACGTTCATAGGGATTACATGGATATATAGATGGAATCACATGCTTGACTCATGACCGACCGCTTACACGTGCACGACTAGCTTAGCACGTGGACGACTAGCTAGTAAGTTTAATGCGTGCCTTTTTACGTGTCAAACTACTCGATCATAATGATGACACTTCATTATATATAATAATGCATAGAAACTTGTGTCAAACTACTCCCTCCGTTCTTTTTACGTGTCACATTAACTTCATCCTAAGTCAAATATTAGTATCTTTGACCAACCATTTTTAAAAACATTATAGTTTTACAACATATAAATCATATTATATATTATGGAAGTATTTCTCTCATAATGAATCTAAAAACACAAATCTTATGACATGAATCTATATAATTTTTTTGGAATCAATAGTCAAAGATATAAATGTTAATTTGATTTAGGACGAAGCTAATACAACATCTAATAAAGAAACAGAGAGAGTACTTGCATCAGCACCGATGAGCTATACTTCGACAATATATATACAGCCTGTTCGTTTCGGCTTATTCGCTTGTATCTGGCTTATAATCCACAGTTTGAACAGTATTTTTCTCTCACACCAAACCAGCCAGCAGTACTTTCAGTCATGACTTATAAGCCAATTCAGCCGAAACGAACAGGCTGATAGTCACAACAACGTACTATTCTAGTCGGCCGCAAATGTATTTCTAACCTGCTCGATCAAAATCGCCATCTGCTTACGAAGTTGCCGGCGTGATTTAAACATGTGAGAAGAAATCACACTATGTCCCTCATTGGTATAGATTCTGGTGGATTATTCGGCTCCAGTTGACACATTTCACTGTTTATTGGAGCCAGTTTTTCTCTCTCCTCTCCCTCTCACAGAGCCGGTACGAGCCGGTGAAGCAAAAATTTTAGCTTTTTAGGCTCCTGCTGGCTCTGTGAGAGAGAGGAAGAGAGAAAACCGGCTCTAATGAATAGTGCTACAACAGTGAATGTGTCAGCTGAAGTTGGATCCACAAAAATCCATTCCAAAGAGGCCCTACTCTTAAGTCTTAACCCTAACTAGCCTATGTTACTCGCTGATTTTCTGATTGGCCCATTGTTTCTGGGTTTTGTCGCTAGGAAACTGTGTCTTCGGAAATGTGGTGATCTTGGAGCTTTATCCTTTCTTTTGACCATGGAATTGCTGGAAGAATTGCTGAGAACACTGTCTAATCCGCCCATAGCTTTTTTTTTTTTTCCATTGGACATGGCATGTCTTATTTCTTATGCACTACTAAAGTCAGATGGTGCTCGTTTTTTGACTTCTTGTGTTGGTGATTGAACTGCAGTACTACGGTAGCTATCATGCATGCTTGGTGTGCAGCATTCAGATAACGACCAAATCATCGAACTACAGTACTGTGGTAGCTATCATGCATTGGTGATCACTCTTTTTAATTTAGTTCTGGCTTCTAAAAGGGCTGGATATGAAGAAATACTTAAGTATTACTCCCTCTGTTCAAAATTACAAGACATTTTGGCTTTTATAGATATATAGTTTTTGTTATGCACTTAGATATACATTATGTATAGATAAGTAATAAAAAAGTTAATGTATCTAGAAAAGCCAAAAGCGTCTTATACTTTAAACGGAGGGAGTAGAAGTTTTGCTTACTACCTATGACTAATAAAAATATTTATCTCTAGGCTCTCACTGTCCATTTTCTAATGCGATACCCCGAGTTTTCTCTTTAGACATGGTACCTACATGTGTCTTCAATACACAT